TTAGATTGACTGCTTTTTTTCTGATTGCTTTATAGGAGTTTATTTCTTGCTCTGGATATGACTCTTTTGTCAGACCTGGTACGTCACTGACGCAGAGAAAATCAGAGACCCTCAGTTTATTATTCTGTAAATCTGGATAAAAAATGCTGGGTGTAAAGATTAAATTAGAGGAAAGAAGTCATCCTATAAACTATGGAGGGGTGCACAAATGTGAATTTATATCGTCCAGCAGTGTTCTCTTCAAGGAAGGACTTAGACACGGTTAGATCTATTGTTATGTGTTTATTTTTGCCAGCATCTACGTAAAAGAAAAAAGGAAGTGATAAGAACTCTGTAAAATAATGTTGAATAATGGCTCCCGTAACTTCCAGAAGGACAATTGCCAAAGGAATGCAAGATAGCACATTACACCTCATCAGAACAGCTGTACTCGAAAGCAATTATTCAGAAAGATTGCATTGGAAAACTGTTTCCGTGAGTCACATTGTAGCCCTCACCAGTTTGCTAGATAGAAAAGCACTGTGGGAGCCAAGTGAGTGACTTTGGGGTACTCTGCCATGCTCTGTGCTGGGTCTTGATCCTGTTTGCTCCTGAGTCTCAGAGACAGAGGGAGTCCAGCTCCTGCAGGAGAGCTCTTTGGGCTCACAGCTGTCACATGCGCCTGGCCCCTGGCTCTGAGTGACATTTCGTAGACTGGATGGCGCTGCCTGTCCACCCGCCAGCGTGAGGAGGCACCATTCTTGTTTCCTGGGATGAAACGTTGACACCCACACACGTAAAGCCTGCTGGCTGGGGAGCTGAGCTGTGAGCCCAAGAGGTCTGCTGCCCACAGGGACTCTGCCTCTCCCTGCCATCGTGCCTGGCAGGGACAGGACAGCGACAGCCAGGTGGTGTCCTGAGGATCTGAAATTACTGAAACCCATTTTTCAAAGTGCTATGCATTAATGTTTGTGTCCCCTCAATTGACAGTGAAATCTTATCCTCAAGGAGGTGCGGTCTTGTGGGAGTGGAGGGACAGCGATCAGATCATTAGGCTGTCACCCTTGTGAGTGGGTCTGCTGCCCTTTGAAAAGAGAGACCCCAGAGGGCTGCCTCACCCCTTCTATGTGACACCAGAATTCAACCGCACTGGCTCCCAGCTCCCAGACTGGTTTAAAGCCTCCTAGCTTACAGTGTTTTCTTATAATAGCTCACACAGGTAAGGACACAGAGCTTGTGCTGCTTGCTAATCGCATCCTTGGGGTACCCACAAATGTTGTTTTCCAGGGGGCTCCACCAGTATTTTGAGTCAGGGTTTAGAAACTTCATCCTCCTCCCCTACAGGAGTCCTGGAGTCTGGCTAGTGTGGTGTCCAGCTTGTGAGGGAAGTGACCAGTGAATACCCCTTCCCTACTGATTCATGGTTTGCAGTACTCTGCACAGGAAGCTCAGGCTTTGGGGTCAGTGGCAGTACTTTGGTGTATGAGAAGGAAGCATCTCTCGTGAGTAGGAACTGGGTTTAATACTTAAATAAGTCTGGGCATTGGGATTGGAGCCCCTGTGGACACTGCCTTGTCCTAAATGTCCTGCTGCCAGAGGCCAGAGAGGCGCACAGTGTACAGACTGCAGGCTCAGCTGTCCTCCCTTCCCTTCCAGCATGGAGATGTACAAAGCTCTGGCATAGGAGGGAGGGCTGGGCTCAAGTCCTGCCGGTGTCCGCTGTACAGAAGATGATCAGGAAGCAGGGGAAACAGGCGAGGGCTGGGCATAAGAGGGCTGCAGGGAGGATGGCGGTGAGGTTGGGAGAGGCAGGCAGATACTCTTCAGGCCTTGTTTTTGGAGCTGCCCTGGGGAGGGAGTGGAGGGGAGTTTGCCCGTAAGCAGGTCATGTCCTGCCCGTGAGGAGGTCCCTGAAGGCTCATCCCTGCTAGGTTCCCAGGAGGTTCCTTTGAATGGTGGGGGTTGGCCAGGAGCCCCACCTTATAGGAGACCGTGGCCTCCAGACCTGGCCCCTTCCCTGTAGTCACAGCGAGGGACGTGTGGAGTCAGTATCACCTGATTGAGCTTTAGTGAGCAGGCTGTTGGCGTGAGTCAAGGGACGGAGGCTGAGGGCTGGCACACGAGGTGGATCCTAGGGGATCCACAGTCTGTGCTGTTGGACAATCCTAGCTGGCAAAAGCAAGGCTTATAGTGTGCGAAGGGAAGACCTGCCTTCTTGCCACTCTGGGGAGAGTCCTACCCACCAGCCTCTCTGAACGGCCCTATTTCTCCCCTCCATAAGCCCCCTGTCATGTCTCGGTTCACGTCCTTTATTACGGTACTGTGTAACCCAACCCTGTTCCTCTCTGTTTTATGTCCCAGGAGCAGAGGAGCAGTGTTCCATTCCCAGCATAATGTCAGCCTAGTGCAATGTTAGGGCAGGAAGTGCTCCACAGGCATTTGTTGAGTGAGTGAGTGAGTGAAAGCTTCGGTAGGCCGTGACTGAGAGGAAGCCTGTGTGTGCACTGCAGTAGGGACTTTTAACCGGTCCTTTGGGTGTGCTGTTGGAGCAGAGTGAGCTGATCATATCTGCGGTCAGAAAGCCAGGGTGGAAGGGGACAGAAGGCAGGTGAGAGAGACAGTGAGTGTGTGTCTGCATGTTGCGTACTGTGTGTGTCGGGGTGGGGATTGGGAGACCTTGTCGCCCGGCTGTGTGTGTCCCCAGGCTGGGTGGGCAGCAGGGGACTGCTGCCTGGTTCAGCGGGGCTCCCTCTGGCACCTGAGAGCTGCCCTTGGGGTATCGCAGCACTGTCCGCTGGCGACTCCTTGCTGTTCATTGTTGATTACAGATTGAAACGCTGTACCTTGGTCCCACGCTGCCACAAGGCACAGGAATCCAGTGTCATTCTAATGAGGTTTCCCTGTGAATGCTGGAAAGAAGAAAGCCTTTTAATTAGATTGGTAGTAATTGAGTTCCCAAACCACAGAAGCCTTTCTCTCAGGAGAGGAAGAGACAAATGCAATTAAAAGAAGAAAAGACACCGAAATGGAACACTCGCTAATTCTAAGTCCATTAAAAACAACAGCTCCCTAATAAGTTGAGGCAACAGATAGATGTCCTGAAGAGTTTGACAGCGGTGCCAATAACTCTGGAGACTGAACTGAAACCAGGGCACATGTGCGAGTTAAATGCGTGGCCCTAGCGGGGATCGTTTACTCAGTGCGGTGCACAATGCAATGTTAGCTCCACAGCTTTTTAATCACAAAAAAATCTTGACGTGTTTTGTTTTGGAAAGGGAGATGTATTTCTTCTTGTAACCCACTGGCAGCTTCTCCTGGACATAGCCCCAGGCCTGGGACCTCCTGGAAAATCATCTTGTGCCCTTCCCCATGCAGTGCTCTCCTTCCTACAAGACTTCCCCAACCCCGCCCACCTCACTCTCGGAAATACCCAGCAGGTGAGCAGCCAGGCCGGCATCTAAGTAGAGGTCTTGCCTTCCTGCTCACTGCAGTTCTGTTTTAAAGCAGGGCAGGGCGGCATCCAGTTCTCATTTGCGTCCCTGGCAGATGTCATGTGCCTCCAGCTACTGGACCTGTTTTTGGTGACTGACCGTGAGGGAACCGGGCCAGGCACTTCCTCTTACAGGAACTCAAGGTCTCAGCTTCTGGGCAGGTCTTCCTGGGGTCAGTAAGAAGTACCTTCCCTGGAGAAGGTGTCGGTTACAAATATATGGAGTCTGGGTTGGAGTACAGGGATCGATGATTTAATAACAGCACTGTTCGGTTGTCTCCTTGCAAGTTGCTTTCCGGTGGCTTTCCGGGCTTGGCCGGCTGTGACAAAGTGCCGGCCACGGCCGGGGCAGAAAGGCCAAGTTGGACTCCACCGCTCTGTAGATGGTCTGGTGGCTTTCTGTGACTGAACCAAATGCCTGGGGTGATGAAGTTAGAGAGAGAAAATGCTTCTCTCGGCTGTCAGTTCGGAAGTCTCAGCCCATGACCCGTTGGCTCTGTGGCGTTGGGCTGTGGAGACAGCACACTCACTGTAACAGGGGCCCCGTAGAGGAAAGCTGCTTAGCTCATGAACAGGAAGCAAATAATAGGAAGAGAAAGGGCTGAGGACCCCATATATACTGCAAGGGTTACCCCATGACCTGAAGACCCCCAGCAGGCTCCACTTCTTGAGGGTCCCAAAGCCTCCCAGGAGTGCCAAGCTGGGGACCAGGCATCTGAGACAGGGGTCTTTGAGGGACACGGCAGATCCCGCTGTGGCAGATGCCCTGTGCGTGAACAGCCGTGGCCGACACACTGCCTTATGCTCCCTGGTGAGGCACAGACTCAACACCCAGCGCAATCCCACACTCAGAGGTTTTGGCAATATGGAAGAATGAGTTCTGGAGTCTGCAGGGTCCAAATGTAAAGTCGCCTCACCTTTCTTACCCTGATTCACCCAGACAGGATTCACCCTGTGTACGGGGGGCAAGGGTCAGGTGTGTTGCCTGTGGAGACGGCAGGAGAGAAAAGAACCCACACCCTCAGGTGCACAGCAGGGATGCCCTCCTTGGGACACCCTCTATGTGCAGGGAGGCAGGTGATGCGGGCCTGGCCTCCTTTCCTGGTGGAGGGAGGCGTATAATATTGAGGTTTATTTCAAAGTGTATACATTCTAGTGGCAAACCTGACCTTAAAAAATCGGAATTTGCACCAAATTTTTAAAGTATATGAATTATAAAATAAAAGAGAAATAGCTACGTCCCTAGCAAGCTTCATTACTGGATGGTAGGACTGCCTGATTTTAATTTTCCTCTTTATACCTTGCCGTCCTCTGTAAGTGCTCTATAATAAATGTGTATTACTCCGGAATAAATAGAAAAGCTCAGCTCTGGGGAGATGCTGCTGGCTTACATTTGCAGATGCCTGGTGCATTTTAATTTTCACACACAACGGTGCTCCTGACAGGCAGATCCCTGAAGGAATAACTGTGTCCTTCCTTATTTTGTGAAGCACGTGAGCCATATTTATGCTGTTTCTTCTTTTTTATTCAAGGATGAGAAGAACCAAGTTTTAACCACCAACATTTGGCTGCAAATGGTGAGTTAAGGCAGCGGCAGTCTTTGCCCGCATGTCTGTCTGCTCTTGCTTCTGAGGTGTATGCGCTCCATTTGCAGGGAAAGCAGAGCTCCTGTGGCAAAAGCCGGGCTGTCGTCCCTGCCCTGTACACACCCACAGTGAATGCCAGACAGATCGCACTGTGGATTCAGTTGCCAATTTACAGAGTCCTGTAGGTTGCAGTTTAGTACTCCATACTGAATGGCAGCAGGACTGTGTGCATGCTTCTGCTGCCCTACTGACTTATTTGGGCGACATTCCAGAGCCACTTCATGCATGACAAATAAGTTGCCCAACCACATTCAGAGGTCTGCAGCTCTGGGCCTGGCTGCTGCACCCTCCAGGGCTGTGTTTGAATCCCACCGAAGGCTCCTCAGCCTAAAGTCTGCACACTTGGTGCTCCGTGACACCTGCCAGAATCATTTGAAATGCTTCCTCGGTTGAGCACTCCAAATCCAAAAGTCCGTGGTCTGAAATGCTTTGAACTCCCAGGCTTTTTGATTGCTGGCGTGAAACTCAAAAAGCTTCAGATTTGGGAGCATTTCAGACTTTCGGATTTTTCAGATTTTTGGATTGGGGATGTGCAGCCAGCAAGACTCCATGGAAATCTTCCAAATTCTGGAAAACCTACAAAGTTGGAAACACTCCTGGTCCCAAACATTTTTGCTAAGGGTCCTGAACCTGTATTCTCGTCCTGGATTTTTAACTTGCATCTATGGCTGTGACCTAAATCTGATTAACTGAAGCTGATGTCACTTCCATCAAATTGTAAGAGATGGAATTTAAATGTAAAACTGTCAATCTCCTTTAGGTAGAATCTAATAAGTACACAATGATTCTGTGCCTGTATCATTCATTCAAAAGCCATATAAACATATCATGCTTTAGCTGTCAGCTGGCTTACATAATTCCTTTTTCTTTTTGCACCTGCATTTCTATTTTACTTTTTATGTAGGGGTTTATCCTAATGCAAACTAATTTTATATTCAAAAGTCTTTTGTGAATTGCTCCACCTTGATTTTCTCAATTATAAACGTTTACAAAAATTTTTCTTCAGACAGTAAAAATTTTCCTTCTGGATTGATGTAAGATCACTATTGTTATTGGTTCGTAACTCAACAAGGTGACAGATTTCAAATTTGAATGCATAACTATTAAACAGTTTTTAAATTGGGAATTGCCTGTGTCAAAGATGGGGCTTTGTTTTGAATTAATTTATGTGTCTGCAGGTGACTCTTTCTTACTTCTGGAACAATACCACTGTCACTGTCCATTCTGTAACTCTTTTATTAATAGATGCAGGAACATGTTGCTAACGAAGAGAATTTTGTTAATTTTACGCAGCTTTTGAACTTCTTCGAGATTGTATGACAACAGCGATGTTTTCATCAAATACATCAGCTGACAACTCTGCTAGTTTCCGCTTCATTTTTTTGAAAGCAAAAAATGAAAAGAATTAAAAGTCCATCTGATTTTTGAACGTATTTGTCACCCTGTGTTTGGTGGGACCCATGCTAAGGGGCGTGGTGGACCTCCTGTGTGGCTCTGGTCAGTGTCCTAAGGTAAATGTGTCCTTCTTTGTAAAGGGGAGGAAGGAGAGAGGCCACGGGCAGGCAGCTCTTCCTGGAGGAGCCGAGAGGTGGAGCTGAGCAGATCTGCTTAGAGCCACCTGCCACGTGTGACCTAGCGGAACAGCAGAACAGAACAGGAGGCCCCTTCAGGACCCACTGTAGGCAGGGCCTTGGGAGCTCCTCTGGCCAGATTAGAGCACTACGCCCCACCCATACCAATCCAGCAGGCAGGATTAGGTGCCTACTCTCCTCACCCCAGGGCTGCTGCTGCTGCTGCTGCTTCCCTGCCTGCCTGGGAGCTAAAGGTCATAATTCACGGTTGTCTCCTGGAGCCTCCAGAGCCTCCTTGCCCCCTCTCCCCTGCCTCTGGCATTGTCACAGCATCTGCTTATTCTGCCCTCTTAGTGTCTTTGTCACTGGTAGGGGCAGTCGAATTTTTCCGTCCGCTCTCCTGGAGACCTCAGTGTGTCTCTTTATTCTTGTCTGCTTCAGGGTCCATCAGCAAATCCTGGGAGCACAGTCATCAAACAGACCGGGTAGCACTGCACATGAGCCCACTGCTTCTGCCCTGGCCTGCACTGCTGTCGTGTCTAACGCTCTGGGGTCTCCCGCCAGTCCTCTTGCTCAGCCCTGGTCTCCCCTGGTGAGGTCTGTTGGGACACAGCAGCCAGTGATCCTCAGCTCCTCCAGGGCCTCCTTTTTCCCTGGGCAACATAAGAACTGATGTTTTAGAAGTCACCTTCACTTCCATTGCCTGGATCATCTTTTCTTTCCCATCCTCTCTGCCCTCTTCTTCCTTGCTGTGCTCTCTGACCTCTTGATGTTACCACTGCACCTATCACCCGAGCACATTCCTACCTCAGGGCCTTTGCACTTGCTGCTCCTCCTGCTTGGGAAACTTTTTCAGGAACCACATAATTTTCTCACAGTCAGCATCTTTTCAATTATTTTTTCCTTGAGCTCCTATGTACTGTCCCCAAACCATTCCCTGCTCTCTCCAGGTGGCCCCCAATCTCCATTTTCTCCCCACCTCTGTCCCTGTCTCTGCCTCTGTCTGTCTGTCTCTCTCTCTCTCTCTCTCTCTCTGGTGCTAGGGATTGAACCCAGAGCCTTGCGCATGGTAGGCAAGTACCGTATTCCTGAGCTGCATCTCCAGTTCCCACTTGATTTCTTTGCTGCCTTTGTCCACCACATCCTTGTCACTGTCACACACTTCATACTGATCTGGATGCTTATTTCTCCTACTCGTCCTTGCACCCCATTAGCACAGGTGCGCCCCAAAGTCAGAGCTGCGGTTGGATCCGTCCACTGCCGTTCCTGCACTTCTAGCCCACTGCCCCATCTGCTGCCCGTGGTGAATAACTGCGGCTCGGTGAGCGAATGAGAAGGGGATGCTCTGTGAGCCCGAGAGGGGCTCAGATACAGCACAGAAGGAGGCCAACTCCATGACCTTGGGACGCTGCAGGAGAAGATCGAGCTCTGGGAACTCTGGGGATGCGGCGGTGTCATCCATGCCCCCCAAGGAACAGAGCTGTGATTGACATTTTCCTTACAGAGGTAAAACGTGTGCCACAGTCTGCTGTCTGTGCCAGGTGCCCACCTTCGGGCCTCAGAGAGCCGCTGATCATGAGCAGTGCACGTGGGTAGAGGGGTACAGGGCATTGGCTCCCAGGAAAGCATAACTGAGTGATTACTCATTGCTCTGAGTGCAGTTGCTGCACGATAAACACCCTGGCTTTGGAGACTGTCACCAGGGACCTCTAAATTTCATTGAAGTAAACTTTATTTCTGACTGTGACTTACCTTTGCAGAAGCATCTGCATCTTCATTAAAACAATTCTCCTTTACCCGCTGAGCTCACCTTTGGGAGCTCACTGCTGCGTGGAAGGCATGGAGCAGGCCACGTGAGGGCTCCGGACGTGGAAAGATCCGTTTTCCACTGTTCAGCCATTTCCAACCAGGCTGTGTCATTAGCACACTTAAGAAAGGTTAGCCACTGAGAGACGATAAATGTCTGAGGAGATGGAAATGCAGATGACCTTAATTTGGTCACTACATTTCGTATACAGTATTGAATTGTCACACTCTACCCCGTACATACGTACAATTATGTGCCAGTGAAATGTTTTTAAGTCACAAAAAGGGATTACAAAAAGATTAACCGAGCAAGACCAAGTGGTTCCCTAGAGACATTGTGGAGTACAGGCTGCTGATAAGACATGGGGAATAACGTGCTTTGCGGAAATCAGAGACAAGGCAAGGCCCAGACTCTCCTAAATGACCAGGTCTGGGAGCGCTGGCCCTGCTGTGTGTCCCGTCATGAATCAGTCCTTATTTGCAGATGTCTTCCACATAAAAATCAAGCCAGCTCTCTGCTGCCAGCTCCTCCCTACAAAGCCTGACCCTGAAAGTGATGCAGGAGCTGACACTGCCTCTCAATGGAATTTTTAAGGCATCCCAAGAATCTTGGGTTTAGAGCAACACTTTTCAGTTGGGACACCGATGCCTGTGCCTGCCTGCTCTTGGCACAGCCCTGGTTTCAGTCAGGAGGCCCAGGTGCTCTGACCTGGTCAAGGTAGGGATGCAGGAGCACTGGGTGGCGCCCAGGGAGTGCGTGTGACCTCCTTGGAATCATTTCTAAACAGCAGAGACGCTCATACTGAAGGCAGCAGGGCCAGACTTTCTGGAATTGGGGTGTGTGCAGGGGTCACCAGAGGGTCTAGGAAATGCTTCTCCACCACAAGTGTCTCTCACTCTTCCCTGTTGCCAAATTTCTGTTTTCAAAAATCAGAATCCACACTGTCTTTTCTCCAGGGTATTTAAATGCAGTTTGATCTTCTGCAAATGATATTTTTTTTATATCAAAATGGAAGAGGCAGAAAAGTTAAAGAAAAAATTGAAATGAAATTCTCTTTGACCTACAGTTTGTTGATTTTGTTATCCTTTCTCCCAGTTGTCCTTAATTTTGTATGACTTCCAGATTATTCTGATAATGTGCAGGAAAACAAAGTTGCTGATCTCTTTATTTACCTCCTCCTGTTCCTAGGAGGAAGCAGTTGGTGTATTTTCTCTGCAGATACTTTATCCTTTTGGGAGGCCTGTCACACATAATCTGATTTAATGTATGAGAAAAAAATGACAGAAACCATTTCAGTTTCTGAGGAGACATTTGAGCCATCCAGGCGTACATTCACTTTTGGAAGATGTGTCTTTTCTTACTTTGGAATCTTGACTACATTTCTACCTTTAGATTTTTCCTTTGTTCTCTGTTTTTAAGCTCCTAATTCTAATTATGGTATTAATAGCATTCATTTCATCAGAAGTTAGATTGTAAACCATCATTATTTCTAAAACACTTACAGTTGATTTTCTGCATTTGTTACCTGTGACACGCAGAAATGTTTCCCTTTATGCTCACAGGTTAGCCATCTTTACAGACTGCAGTGATTGCATCCTGAGGTTGAAGGTGGTGTGGTGGGGAGGGTCTCAGTCATTGTGTTTCACTACGAGAAAGTTTCAGGGACAAGGGACAGGAGGCGGCTGGTGTTCCCTCTCTGAGATCAAAATAGCCGATTGGAGAATTTTGGAAATACATGTTTGGCTAGTATTTTCCAAGACCCAACAACCAGTTCTCTAACTCAATTCTCACACTTTGACCTTAAGTTAGCATCTGTACCCCGAGCTCCGAGGCTGAGCCCCGTAAGATTACCCCACTCAGACACCTGCTGCACTTGAGGTGTCCAGGCCTCCCGTGCTTCTGCTTGGCTGACTAATGCCAGCGGTTCTTACAACCTCCATTGTTCTCTCAGGTATCTTTGTCTTCTAGGACCCCACACAGTCCTTAGGCAAACACTTGGTTTAGTCCAAAGGAGAAAACTGGAAGTGCCAGGTGGAAGAGAGAGGGCAGGGTGAAGGGAGGGAGGTGTGTCTATGCCTTTCTGGTGTGTGCCCCGCCTCCTACACAGCCCGGGAGCGCTCAGCCTTTGCTGCTGAAGAAACTTCAAAACCTGATCTCCAGCCCTTCCGGCCCCTGCCAGCTGGGGAGCAGATGGGGCTGAAGGTTCTCACCTCTGCTGTCCTCTCAGGTTTTTCTGCTGCCCGGCGGAGCCTTGACCACCTGGGGCTCGGCCTGCGTCACCTCATTAGCATGCGCTGGTGTGCAGAAAGGACAGGACCTCTTGAAGGAAAGATGCTGTTTTCAGGAGCTCTGTGCTAGGGAGGCCAAACACATTTCTTAGCTATAATGTATTTTCTTAAAAGAAAACTGTCTCTCTCTGTCTCTCTCTGCTTCCATGCCAGGGTGTAGGCGCGGTGAGAATTTAAAGAGAGATTCCGGGGGAGGCGGGAGCATCCCCCACGCATCCCCCTCACGACCCCACACCCTCTTCTCTGAGAAGGAAGCCCACAGACGGGGAAAGAGTGGAAGTGTGGACTCCTCTGCACGCGCAGACCGGAGCCTTGGCGTCTCCAGGTCCCTGTGCAGTCTTCCCCGAGGCTGCTTCTCATTGCAGGCACACGGAGGCCACGTCGGTGCCGTTCACAAGAGTTTTCCCCAAGGCGCCAAGATCGGACTGGAAACAAACGCTGTAAGAAGGCAGATAGCCTTTGGTGCAGACAGACTGCCCGGCGATTCTACATCCCTTCTTAGGAAACCAGGACAGGCGGCTCAGGTTCAGGCCCAGCTCCCAAGTCCTTGCTCCACCTTTGGCTGCAGCTCAGTTATTATTGAGTACGGCTCCCGTGCAGCGCAGTGCAGTGCGGGACGTTATAAATGGAAGACTCTCTTGAGCCATCACCACTTGCTATGAGGGGAGCATGGATTTCCCCTGCTACTGCACACAGGATCCCGTTTCATCCTTATGGCGCTGCCCTGTACGTGTGAACACAGAAGGAAACTGCAGACCAGACGGGGTGGTGTGCATAGCAAGCCTTTCCTCGAGCCTTGGTGCACACTTGGGTCTGGTTCTGCAGCTCTGTGCAGCTGCTCCTCCCGCTGTGGGTCAGCATAGCTTTGCCTATGGGGGACAGGGAGAGCCGAGGAGCAGCGCCATCGGGGACAGAGTTCGCCGTGTGTTGAGGTGCAGATGTGCCAGTGCGGATACTGCTTCGGACGAACCGGCTGTGGAGAAGCAAAGATTGCTTTCCCGGGCTCAGTCAGGTACTGCAGTCAAGTCCCAACCCTGGGACTGGCCCCAGACATCTGGCTGTGAGCCTCACTCTCCGTTTGTAAAGTGGAACAGTCTTCACCTGACACCCTTGGGTGGTGGTGAGCTGGGGTGCATAACATACTGGACAGGAGATGCCGCCTGGCCAGGACTTGGCCTGCGGTGTGCACTCAGCTGGGTGTGCAGAGGAGGTGCGGAGTGCTGGGGAGCTGGGGGGTCCTGACTGTCCCCAGAGAGGACTGAGCTTGACCCACCAGGCATCCCTTTCCTGCCTGCTCTCTCCTGGCCCTTGTTTCAGCAGATGGAGGAGACAGGTTCTTGCCTCTAACTAGGACCACCCACCTTCATGGCCGCTCGTGGAACCCTGGGTTCTGACAGGCATAATAATGGGCACCATGACTGGTTGGGGGGTCATCAGTGGCCAAGCCAGAGAAGCAAGCCAGGGTATAAAGGCGGTGTACAAGCTGCAAGGAACTGGTTGGAAGAGTTTTGTGCCTACAGCAAGGGAATAAATGAGAACAGCAGACAGCGGCTGGCACTCAGGTGCTTCTGGAAATTAACTGGGAAAACCACCCCTTTGCAGTGTTCTCCCACCCACTCCCTCAGCCACGCTGTCTAATTAGAGACCCCTAAGGACAGCTTTCAAATGCCAGAGGTGATGCTTTAGAATGATTTCCATCAGCATACCTTCATTCTTGAGGTCCCTGGCTGAAAGATGGTGTCACACACCTGGATGGTCCCTCTCCTTTAACTTTAGATAATTCCAGATCTCAGATAACCTTTTTAGAAGGAGGTGGGAACTGGGCTTTTGTAGTGAGCTGTATCCCCAGCCTTTTTTTAAAAAAATGTTTGTCTTAAGACAGGGTCTTGCACTGTTGCTAAGCTACCCAGACTGGGCTCAACCTTGGCATCCTCCTGCCTCAGCCCCCCAGAGTTCTGGGATTACAGGTGTGCAGTACCGTGCCCAGCTCCCAGATAGTCTTTCTGGTGCTGTCCATTCTTGCCAGAGTACAGTTGATCTCTGGAACATGCCCTTGGAACTTTTCCAGAATCTGTAGCTCTATACCCATAGTGCCTCATACTTAATTCCTGAATCTCAGCAGCTCTGGAAATTTGTTCCCTGCCTCCACCTTGCTGTTTTTTGTTGTTGTTTTTTTTTTTAAACAGCGCCTTAAATTTATTTGGTCTGAAATCAAATTGAAATTGATGTGCAACTGAAACATTTGCCTCTCGGTGGGAATCGGTATGTAAATTTTGATGCAGACATAACAGTGTTTGTGCTTATGAGGGAGCCACCCGGGTTCCAGTGGAGGGGTTGCAGCAAAGACCTTTCTAGATCTTGAAAAGTCAGCTCCAGAACACAGCAGGTGTCAGCAGAGTGAGTCTCGTTATGGTGCGCTGTGGGGGCTGCTGGTGGAACCCTCCCTGCCCCGAGACTCCAACAGTGCAGTGCTGGTTTTGTGGCAGCTGCAGGTCTGATCCCCTCTGAGCAGCTACAGCAGAAGCTGGCCCAGGAGCAGCTGCGGAGCTCCTGGTCCTGGGAGGGAGGACTCTGGGTTTGGGCTTTCCTCTGGCAGAGTATCACTCAGGGGCCTAAACTGGGGCTTGACCTCGAGCTTTGTGTGTAGATGCATCTCACTTCTTCGCGTGTGTTCTGCTGCGGAGGCCAATGCTCGTGTTGTCGGGTTGGCAAGTCAATGGGCCGTCGCTGCAGCGGGACCAGATTCACATGGTAAAATGTGCCCTTGGAAGATTCTGAGCTGTTCTCACAAAGCTGCACAATGCTATTTTGTCGAAATAAATGGTCTACGTTTTCAATGCTTGGCTTTTATTCCAGTTGAAATGAGTGAATTTATTTTTTCCAAAATGCCCTTACAATGAAAACTTGGAAAGCAGAACCATTATTCATTTGGCCAGAAGGAAAACATCAGCTGAGAAGAAGGCTTGGGGGCGTGCGGTGGGTTGGAATTACTGTTAATGCCACCATCTGAATGTGGTCATGGTGACAGCAGGACCTTAAATGTGATTTCTGTGCTGTTCATGATCATTTTGAAAGAGATTATTTAATTCCCAACTTTCTTATGTTTTATAAATAACAACCAGGTTATGTAAGTAAATGTCTGGAACGCTTTTTTGGCTTTGATCTTACCTAATAACCTCTTACAAGAACTATAAGTAGGCCAGGAAGCGAAGTGCTGCTAATGCCGTTGTCTGTGTGTGTCAGTCTTGGACAGATCACTATTTGCAGTGGAATATGTCGGACTATCCGGGCGTGAAGACTCTTCGCTTCCCAGATGGGCAGATTTGGAAACCAGACATTCTTCTCTATAACAGGTAAGCTCATTGATTGGACAGAAGGAAAATGAGCCTATGCTCGCATATATGTTCAATCAAGCACATGTGAATATTGTGTAGCAATGCTGAATACGGTCCCTCTAATGTGATACCTTGACTCCAGAGAGACTTTCCAAGAGGCTTGGCCTTTGAGAAGCAGCTCGGTCTCCCTCTGCTGGTGTGTTCTGTATTTGCATCCAAACTCAGGGTGTCCTACCTGCTGCCCAAGAGGATCCTATCCATGGTGTCACGCGTTAGGGGTACATAGCATTGTTTCTCTGCACATTGGAGCATGAAGCGTTCTTGCATAAGACACTGCCTTGGTTGAATGACCAACAGTTGTCATGATCAACAGTAGAAGGTACAAGCCTTGGGATGTATAGCTGGATCCTATGGTTTAGACCTGAGTCCTCATTTGATTTGTTCCTTGTTGCAAATGAGGCTGAGTTCATGCGGACTGACCTCTCCAGCTGCTCGGGGAGGTGTGCCGCACAAGTCATCTGTCTGACATAAAAAAGCGAAACAAGTCATGTTCAGATAGTCTTTCTCCTGAGGGCAGGAAATACGGGATCATCAGTAAATGAAGACAGAGGATTTGCAGACCAGATGCCCAAAGGGAAAGGATCTAGGGAGGGTAAATTTCTAAAAGCTGTGAGATTCTTTGTTAAACTATGTAGTCGAGTAATGGAACCTAGGGCATCCCTTCTTTGCTCTAAATTGTGATGGCCAGCTTGCTCTAAAAGGAAGTTACTTCTCCGTGAGGATCCAGTCTGGAGGGATAAGGGTGCCTGTTCTCTCCTGACTTGAATACACTGTGACTGTCTTCTACCACTGTCCTTGATGGCCCCTCAGTGACCTCCTTCAGTCAGCATGTGTTTTTGTCTTATGCTGGTTACTTCCAGAAGCCCGGGTAATTCCATTTCTTATACCCACTTTTAATTCTGTCTTTGTTGTTGGAGGTCCCCTTTCTCTTGAATAACTGGACTTATCTCTAGAAGATCCACTTCATGTTTGCTGCCACCTCTCTGCTTCTTAAATAAGGTTCAGAAAACTGAGCTTTGAAAACCATCCAAGGTCACAGTGTGGTCTCTTGTTGAGTGTGTGAAACACAGGAGCTTCTCCGCTGGGCTTCAGTTGTCTGTGTCCTGGGGGTGGGGAGAGGCTGTGTTAGTTTGCTACGGCTGCTCTAACAAACTAACATGGAGTGGTGGCTTCAGCAACGACATTTCTTACCATTCGGGAAGCCAGAAGTCTGAGACCCACTTATGGGCAGAGTGGGTTACTGCTGATCCTCTCTGTCCTTGGTTGGTAGATGTTTTCCTTCTCCTGTGTCTTGCCATGGTCCTTACCCTGTATGTGTCTGGGTCCTAATCTTTTCTTGTTATAAGGACAAAGGTCAGATTAGATTAGTGACCACCCTAATGATCTCATTTTACTTTATCTCTTTTAAGTCTCTATCTCCAAATATAGTTATATTCTGAAGTACTGGGACTTAGTGTTTCAACATAGTAATTTTTGGGAAAAATATTTCAGACTGTAACAGAGGGTTTAGAGTGAAGTTCGTATGAGCAAAGGGTTAGGGTTGAATAAGTCTGCGTGTCAGTTTTAGCTGTACTGTAATACTTACTGGGTTTACAAACTTTGAGTCTCTGACTTGCGAAAGGGGGGAAATGTCAGCTTCCTAAGAGTTGGGAAGGAAACCTCTGAAGATATATGGAGCATGTCTAGTGTGGTCCTCAGCAAAAGATGATCATTTTGTAATGGTGTTTGACTGTTACGGGCATGAGCATGAGAGTTTCTGCTTAGAGTAGGATGGTAACTTAATAATTTCAAAAGAAACAACATGCTTCATAGTTCCTAGTTCAGCTTTCTTCATCTGAAGTCTAGGATTCATTTTATAATATGGTAGAATCTCAAAAATGAGGCTCAAAGAGGTAAATTTTATGGTTGTATGTTATGATTGTTAATTCCAAAACATAAAATGCTTGATGATCCCAACATTCTGGCTCTTGAAAAGTTACTAAGGATTCTATTTAATTGAATTTCAAGGAGCAGAGACACAGCAGTGTCTAGCCGACATGTGACGCTGGGCACTCAGGGAAAACGCCAGGCTCTCCCCTGCCTGGCCCAACCCATGTCCCAGAACTGTGCTCCTCTCGTGGCTCCCCATGGGCACTACTTCCATGGCTGCTCCATAGCCATTTACCACCTTCTTCCTGTAGTAGCTGCCCCAGTATCTGCGTCAGTATTTCTGAGCAGTGGGGTAGAGAAATTCCCCCCTGAAGTAACTCCTGGATATACCCCTTGCACCATGCCCGCATGAACACAACGTGGAATAAACAGGTTACAGAGAATATGTCAGCCAGTCGTAGAGATCAGAACTGTGCAAACATAGATACAGCACCTGTATCCGTTGGGAGTTCATTAGAGAACAGAGTTAATATAAGGGTTAGCAGATGTCTCAGTTACTTTTCTTGTGGCTGAGACAGAATACTGGATACCCGAACTTAAAGGGGAGGAGGTTTATTTAGCTCACAGTTTGTAGAGATTTCAGTCCATAATCGGCTGGCTCTAAGGCAGAGTGGGGAGGCAGACAACCATTGAAGATGAGAAACAGTTCATGACAGGCAGAAGGCAGAGCAGCAAGCAAGCCACCAGGGCAGCTTCTTTCTGTTCTTTTTATATTCTACCTGCCTTTGGCCCTTACGGCAGGTAGCCCTCACACGCAGAACTGTGCCAAATCAATCAGTGGACTGGTTTAGTAATCACACATCCTTGATCCCAGCTTTACACACTCTAGATCCAGCTACTTCTGAAAAACCCACCTATGACTGCGTGAGGCTTTGTGGGGCCAGCGAGACATAAGCCATAACAACAAGGTAGGCTTACAATGGTGCCCTGCAGAGTCAGGGGTGGAGGATGTGAAAGAGCCAGCTGCCTACTACAGAGCAGGAGGATCCAGCCAAAAGCCGAGGGCCTGGAGCTCACTGCAGAGTCTCTTGTGAGCCAGAATCTGGAAACTGCAGGGTCTGGGCTCGGAAGGCTGCAGTATGTGCCTGAAGCCTGGAGTTGGAGGCGCAGGGATGAGGAAGATTGGCGCTCCTCTGAAGAAGCAGACATGAGACTTCTTTGTCTTCCCTCCCTTGTTATTCCAGCCACCCACACCCAGGCCGGGTCTTCTCTGGTCAGTGAACCTGTCATCCAGACACAGCCAGGACTGCTAAACCAAGCAGGTGTTCCTTTCAAGTGGACGCCATGATCAACCACTGCAGCATCTGTGTCTGTTACAAACCATCCCAAATTTAGTGACTTAAAGAACAGTCAACTCCTATTTCTCCCACCCCATCGTGCTGTGAACTGACCGGACCCGTGCGGCCAGTGGTCTGTTCCATGTGACCCTGTAGACAGCAGTCAGCTGGGGATCGCTCCCCCGGCAGGCCTGGGATGGGCTGACACGGATGTTGGCCCGGAGTCAGGGCTTAGCCAGGGCCAAGAAACGAGTCCCCTTAACTGTCTTTCTCTGTCCTTTTCTGCAGATGCAGGGGCCCAAGCTTGCTAGCTGGGAGCGCTCCCACAGGAAGGCAGAATGGGCTGTCAGCCCTCTTAAGGAGTGAGCACGACAGTTCCAGAGTCCACATTCACCCATTCCTTTGGTCAGCCCCAAGTCAAGGGGGGTTGGTGAGCCCCCACTCTGTCAGGCATGCGGTGAGACAAAGCTAGAGGGAGCTGGATTCTGGGGAGACTGGCGTCCGTCCCAGGGGGCCAGTGAAGCTGTGGAGGCCAAATTAAAGACTTGGGCGTACACAGAAAGACTGGGACAGGGGTGCAGAATGAAGGCAGAGTGCGTGTGACAGGGCCGAAGAGGGTGCGTGTGTGAGAAGAGGCGCTTTCCAAACACACACGCGACCTCCTCGTCCTCAGCCTCCACTCGGCAGCTTCCCTTCGCCGGCTGGGCAGGTCAGTGTGTCCTCTCTGCCCGCTGCTCCCAGCCAAGGTTTGCCCATCGTGTGCCCGGTGCGTGTCCTCACAGGAGCCACCCTGCATGTGAGCAGTGCCACCCTTCCCTCACCCCCGGACCTCATGAGGAAGGGGTTCCTGCACCCCATCCCCTCTCAGGGGCACCCAGCAAAGCCCTTAATACTCATGGATGCAAGGTCACGATGGAAGGAGGAAGGCAGGAGGAGAGGGTTCATAGGAGGAGGAACCAAGAGGGTGGGCCACAGTGATACAGAGTTGCCAAGAACAGCGGGGGACAAAATAAAGGAAAGGAGATAAATCTTATTGGTAACTTGAAAACAGGAACCTGTGAAAGAGCCCCCAAATGGACTCAGAAAGTAGCAAAAGGATTGTCCTCAGTAAGATTTTGACCTTCTGATATTCTATAATTGGGGATTTGGGGCGATGTGACCGTAATACTTTCTGCTAGCTTCTGCTGAGAGATTCGTGCTTCGGTTCATTAGGGTGTGAGTGAAGGCGTAGGAGCTTCTCCTGAAGGAGGGTTTAAAGTGTCATCACTCAGTAAGTCGTGGTTTTAAAGAGTGTTGGTTGGCTCCTGTGATGCCTCACAAACATGTTTCTCCCTTTCTTTCAGTTTGCTGTGGGAGCTGTGTGGGAGCCACTAATGGTTTTTGAGATGTAATTCATTTTCTGTGCTTTGGAGGGGCTGGGTCACTGCAAAACCACTATCTCTGCATCATTTCTGGAAGGGCTGCTGCGTTTCCCTGATGGATGGGGAACAGTTATGAGCTGCCAGCCAGCTGGCTGGGCTGGGCTGAGGAGAGGATGGGCGTTAATGAGAGCTCTGCCCAGTGCTGAGTCCAGTAGTTTCTCCCTCACTTTATTCTGCTTTGCTTGAAGCCTTCAGTTCAAGGAATTTTCTGAACACAGTCTTGCTCAAAGTGAGAGCAATTATGGAGGTCGTGTCACGATATCCCTCTCTGGATGGAATTAAAAGCCTTTCTGGTATCAGCAGTCGGCTTGCAGGAGGGAAGTCTGAATCC